CTATGCAGTGGCAACAAAGGTAGAAAAGTGCCTCCTCCTATGCCATGTTTTCTGGGTTCCAAGGGTCTGGAAAGTGGTTCCGTAGCCAGTTACACAATTGCCAACTCTGGGTTGGGAAATACCTGTAGATTTGAGGGGTAGAGCCTGGGGAGGGCAGGGTTTGGGGTGAGGAGGGACCTCAGCAGGGTATAATGTCATAGAATCCGCTGCCCAAAGCAGCGATTGTTTCCAGGGAACTGATCTTGTTCTTCTGGATATCAGTTGTAATAGCTGGGAAATTTTCTGTAGGGGAAATGATATGCTGTGGCTGGGGAACACAGTGATTTCTGGGAGATCTCCAGGTCTCACAGGGAGATTGGCAACCCCAGTGAATGTTTAGGGGAAGATTGGGAGATGAATTTTGCCTCAGGACATATTCAGTGACTCCCAACAGCAACAGCAAACTGTTTAGAATGTTGGAGGCCAATCAGGGCATATATGCAAACAGCCTCTGTGTTGACTGGCTGTGGGGGGGGGGGATGACATGTGGAATGGAGTGAGGCCCAGTCAGCCCACATATGCAAATAACCTTGAAAGGCTGACCCAATCAAGCAATTAAGGACCTGCATTCCTCACTTATGACTTCTTTAAATCCTACAGATCCTCATATGACACTTTAATCTCAAATCTCATTTCTTTACTCAATCCTGCTCCAGTTTGGTGTAGTGGTTAAGTGTGCGGACTCTAATCTGGGAGAACCGGGTTTGATTCCCCACTCCTCCACTTGCACCTGCTGATGTGACCTTGGGTCAGTCACAAGCTCTGGCACAGCTGTCCTTGAAAAAGAGCAGTTTGTGTCAGAGTTCTCTCAGCCCCACCCACCTCACAGGGTGTCTGTTGTGGGGAGGGGAAGGGAAAGGAGTTTGTAAGCCGCTCCGAGACACCTTTGGGTAGTGAAGGCCGGGGTATAAATCCAATCTCCTCCTCCTCCTCCTCCTCCTCCTCCTCCTCCTCCTCTTTTTTTTCTTCTTCTTCTTCTTCTTCTTCTTCCTCTTCTTCTTCTTCTTCTTCTTCTTCTTCTTCTTCTTCTTCTTCTTCTTCTTCTTCTTCTTCTTCTTCTTCTTCTTCCCATCTTGGCCTTCTAACATAAACCCAAGTATAATGCATGGTACAATGGAAAATATTTATGCCTGAAGTCCACTCTTCGCTCCATTTACCATCGTTTTCAGAGCCAAAAAAAAGCCCTTGTTATTGAAGGAATATTTCACTGTTAAACAACAATTATCAGACCTAGTCAAGGCCAAGAGGCTCCAGTATGCCAGAGACCAGTGGGAAGAGCTGATCAAGGCAGTTAGGTCAAATGACTGGGAAGTTTTGGACCTTAATCTCAGGCATCTCACAGGTGAAATTAATCTCATCACCATCAGTCCCATCCCAAATCTGGTTTTCATATTTTCCTAATCTTTTCAATGAAGATGGTGCTAGTTTTCCCAATCACATTGTATTTGATATCCCTGTGATCAGGGGTCATTTCGTAGAAAAAGAGACTCATTAGCATAACTCATTAGCATATGCCACACCCCCTGACACCACCGGAAGTGTGTCATAAGGCCACACCCCCTGACATCACCGGAAATGTGTCATAAGGCCACACACCCCGCCCCCAACGGTCCCGGCCGCCACCGCCGGCCTTGCAGCTCCACTGCCGAGCCCCATGAGGGGCCCGGCGGTGGACCTGCAAGGCCGGTGGGAGTGCAAGGAAGCCCCGCGAAGGCCCTCCCTGGCCCCAGGCAGGCAGGGGTGGGGAGAGGCAGGGACGAAGCAACTTACCCTCCCTCTTCTCCTGCCTCCTCCTGGCTGAATGAGGGCCGGAAGCGGGGCGGCCGGAAGCAGGGGGCGTCCCGTACCTCACCCGGGGGAACTGCGTTCCCCCGCGTTCCCCCCGAAATGACCTCTGCCTGTGATGCCTGAGTGGCCACCTGTGTCTCCTGAGGATATTATTACTTTCATCACACATATTATATTTAAAAAGGCTCCCGGCCCTGATGCAGTTATCCCAGAATTATTGAAGTCCCACCCTGAGTGGTGGGCCCCCCCTTTAGCTGTCTTGTTCTCCATGATAAGTAACATGGGAATAATGCCACAGTCATGGACAAGTGCAATCATTGTCCCCATTTTTAAAAAGGGCAAACCCTCTTTACCGGATAATTACAGACCAATTAGCCTTTTATCAGTAATCGGCAAGCTTTATGCCAAACACCTTCTAAGTAAACTAGAAGGGTGGATGACGGACCACAATATACTAGGCCCAGAACAAATAGGGTTTCATTGCGGAAAGGCTACACTGGGTCACTGTATAATAATGCTAGGAAAAGTTAAGGCAGTAGGAAAGGAAGATCCATCATGAGATTGACTCAGTAAAGCCATGGCCTTCAGTTTGCAAGACCTGAGCAAAACTATTAATGATTAGATGTTTTGGAGGTTATCAATTCCTAGGGTTCCCATGTCAGACCGACACATAATACACAAAGAGAAAAGGCATATCTCAACAAGGAAAGGGGCTACAGATTTACTTTTTTAATGAAAGCTGCGCATTCAGAGAACTTGTTAAACATACTGTTATAATGTTATAGAGATATAAGGATATCTAGCTGCCAATATGGTAATAAAAACTGAGAAAGTCCTGGAGGTGTGGGAGGGGGTGTCCCATTATGGGGGACCAGGGCAAGGAAACTAAGGTGAAACCTGTCATGTGGAAGCCCCTTTGCTGCTGCACTGTTTTGGCGGCGGCAGCAGAAATGGAGAAACTAGATGCCTATCCAAATGTGGAAAACACCTTAGATACCTACCCTTTAATTTTATTAACAGTATGGGAAGTAAAAATTTTTCCCTTTTCCTGGAAATAGTAAAGATCACAAGTGGTCTGATTCAATGTGTGTTTCTTGCAGTAAACTGTGGATTCAGACCTGGGAGTAACTGAAATATTTTCCTTCTTTGAAAACACCTTGCTAGAGTGCTACTGCTGCTGCAGTTTCTTATATAGTCACCTGAGCCTTCTTAACAAGGGTTCATGTGGAAACAGACCCCAGCATGTTCAGGTCTGAGAGTAAGGGGCTCTCAGTTGCCTTTCTACTGCAGAGGTTTCAGAAAAGGCTACAGTTACATCCAAGGAGAGTCTCATACAGTTTTTCTGATAGTACCTCTGTAGCTAAAGATATAACTTCTTGGTGCCTCCTTGAGAAGTGTCTATGTGAAAATTCACTCCCCGCCCCCAACTTAAGAACATAAGAAGAGCGCTGCTGGATCAGACCAATGGTTCATCTAGTCCAGCATCCTGTCTCACACAGTGGCCAACCAGTTCCTCTGGACAGCGAACAACAGGGCATAGAGGCTGAGGCCTTCCCCTGGTATTGCCTCTTAGCTCTGGAATTCAGAGGTTTAGTGCCTCTGAATGTGGAGGTTCCCCTCAGTTACCATGGCTAGTAACCACTGATAGACTTATCCTCCATAAATCTATCTAATCCCCTTTTAAAGCTGTTTATTCCTGTGGCCATCAGTATGTCCTCTGGCAGTGAATTCAGTTCTTTGAATGGTCATCTGTACTGTCATGCAATCTTTCCTCCTCAACTGGTTTCTCTGAAGGATCTGAATGGCAAAGTATGTGCACGGAGGACAGGGATTGGATCCAGTGCAGCATTTCTGCAGCTGGAAGGATTTCAGCCTGCAAAGTAGTGCAACATTCTCTCCTTCCCCAATCTGCTGTTCCTGGAGGACAGGGAACCTCCTGCAGAGGGAGGGAAGTCAAAAGATCATGCTTTGTGGATGGAAGTCCAACCTGCAGTGGATCCAAGCTCATATTTCCCCTGAGGACATAAGAACATAAGAACGTAAGAGACGCCAATGTTGGATCAGGCCAAAGGCCCATCCAGTCCAACACTCTGTATCACACAGTGGCCAGAAATACCAGTGCCATCAGGAGGTCCACCAGTGGGGCCAGGACATTAGGAGCCCTCCCACTGTTGACCCCCCCCCAAGCACCAAGAAGATAGAGCATCACTTGCCCCAGAGCCCCTATCTATACCTTGTGGCTAATAGCCACTGATGGACCTCTGCTCTATATGCTTATCTAATTCCCTTTTGAAGTCATCCATGCTTGTAGCCGCCACCACTTCCTGTGGCAGTGAATTCCATGTGTTAATCACTCTTTGGGTGAAGAAGTACTTCCTTTTATCCGCTCTAACCCGACTGCTCAGCAATTTCATTGAGTGCCCACGAGTTCTTGTATTGTGAGAAAGGGAGAAAAGTACCTCTTTCTCTACCTGTTCTATCCCATGCATAATCTTATAAACCTCAATCATGTCACCCCTCAGTCGTCGTTTCTCCAAGCTAAAGAGTCCTAAGCGCTTTAACCTTTCCTCATAGGGAAAGTGTTCCAACCCTTTTATCATTTGAGTTGCCCTTTTCTGCACTTTTCCCAAACCTATAATATCCTTTTTAAGGTGTGGTGACCAGAACTGCACACAGTATTCAAAATGAGGTTGTACCATTGATTTATATAGGGACATTATGATATTGGCTGATCTGTTTTCAATACCCTTCCTAATAATCCCCAGCATAGCATTGGCCTTTTTAATTGCAGTCACACACTGTCTCAACATTTTCAGTGAGTTATCTACTACAACTCCAAGATCTCTCTCTTGATCAGTCTCTGCCAGTTCAGACCCCATCAACGTGTATTTATATTTAGGATTTTTGGCTCCAATGTGCATCACCTTGCACTTGGCCACATTGAACCCCATTTGCCATGTTGACGCCCACTTGCCCGTCCTTGACAGATCCCTTCGGAGTGCCTCACAATCCAAAGAGAAGAGGTGCTGGAGCTTCCACACCCTGACTAAATTTCTGTAGACTTCTAGAAAGTTCTAGAACCTTTGTGTCACTTTACAAATGGCCACTTGAACACCAGTCTGTCTTATCTGTCTTCCTGAAATATGCCTATCTCTCTGTTCATTTTTTCCTAGATCATTCACATCAATCAGGAGTGAGCTGATTCCATATTTAGTGAGGAAGCAATTCTCCTCACCAGCACCTTTGCAACAAGGGCAGAGCAACAAAGAGCAGGATGAAAAGAAAAAGGATCAGAAGTTATTAGGTTAGTGTAAGATACAGAATTTTAGAAAGCCTATGTGAGAAAGCAATCTGAAGCATATGGAGAAGATATAAACTGAAATTGTTTGGACAAGTCACATCAGCAGAGCAGCTTTTTCTCACCCACACCCCTTCTGCAGCCCAAAATACCCCCCTGAAATGCTGCTGGGACAGGGAATTCCCAGAAACAGCATGAAGCAGGAGTTGGGGGTCTGCAGGGGGAGAAGGAATTGGCAAAAATTGCCCAACTTTTGTTAAAGGGAAATTATGACATGATCTAAACCTGTACTTCTCATGTAGTACTTGCCTACTATTTTTTAATGTATGCAAGGCTTTGTGTCAATAATGTAACACAGAGGCATCTGAAGGCTGAGTCTTTACACTGAGGCCATAAAGCTCAGCAATTCTTTTCTCCAGCTTCAGTGCAGTCTGTACAACGCAAGGAAGTACGCATGCAAAGATGTGCTATCCTTTTAAAATACTCTACAGTGATGCTCCATCTAATCTCACTTTTATGTGTATTTTTATAGATATCTATAGCTTCATGAAGGATGATAACCTGTTTGACTTAGATACAGACAACTTTTGGTGGAATAATCACAGAGGAGATATGAATGAAGTGTTCCATGGAGAGAAAGTTCGTTGCTATGTTCATATCATGAAAGAGGGGCTGTGCTACCGAGTAAACACTCTTGGACAGTACATCGAAGCTAACAGACAGGTGAGGCAAAAAAAAAATGGCATTCAACACAGGGCAAGAACACTTACATACTTGTTTGTCTTTTTGGACAATTGTGAGATTTTGCATGGCTTGACAAAAGTGGAGGTACCTACATACACATGTACATACAAAGATACCACTGTTTTATGATCACAGATGAACAAATCCAAAGAATTGCTTTATTAGTTCTTCCTGTGGACAACCACATAATCAGTCTGAAATCTTAAGATCTGGAGACCAGTAATTACTTCCAGTCCAGCAGGCTCTGATCATAGTGAGGAGTTAGGCAAGAAGAGGTTGGATTAGGGTTTCAGGGGACTCATGTGCCTGCATCATTCAAAGAATAAATTATTTTGAGGGGTGCCATGTTTAGAGATGTTGGACAGAAAGTGTTTTTGCCAAGTGGGAAGAAATGGTCTTTTGAAGCCCTTGTTAGGGCATAACTAAATAACAGACAGAAGAACTTATTTTTGGCAGGGATAGGAGAAAGATGCTCAGATGCTAGTAATATTAATTTTAAACATAAGGATTAAAGGGAAGCAGTGTGTGCTGCAATAAGTGACTCTGTGTATTTGACAACCTGTACAAAAAAGCCACAAAGGTGAGCTAGATGAAAATGGTGGGTTTTCTGTCTTCTCCTTTTAAAAAATTGCCTTAATAGTTAAAGCATTTCGAGTCAGTATGGAAAATTTATTTGCACCTAGGTGGGTAATCCCAACTAATCTGTAAATTCTCAGAAAGGTCTTGGTGGTCAGAGAAGATATTCCTTGAATGTTGAACTTTCTGGGATGGTAACATTACTAAGGAAACTATGCTGAGGGAAAACACCACAGCAAATGTCAGAGAGTGCTTATTTGTGATATACTGATACATTATTTTTACTTCCACCTGGTAAAAGATATGCATTTGTTTGCTTTCTGTGTTTTCTCCTTTTACATCTTCTGCTGTTTCTGATGTGAGAAGTTTTGCTCAGAATCTGTCTATCCTGGTTTCTCATGAGCAGAGTTCTGCCACTGGATGCCGTTATGGAAAGCATATTGCCCACAATATGTAAGCAGTTGCTTACATTTTACTGTTGGGGAACTTAGGGTGAGATATAGTGCTTTGTTATTCTGAGTTTAGGACTGAAAGTCAAATTACATGTGATGGGCAATTCTATGATTCTTCTGTCCAATTTTTTTTTAAGTGAAAAACTACTAGAAGAGGCTGAAATCAAGAGGGGAGAACTGGTAGGGAGGAGGACTATTTTAGTGCTTTCCTTCCATTTTTCTATTTAAAATCACTGCACCCCACACTGATTTTCGGTCTGCTTGAGAAAGATGTGGGGATTCCATACACTTTCAGTCACAAATAAGCCAGAAGGGAAAGTTAAGAGGTAAGCAACTAGTCAGCTGCTTCTGATTTCTGGCACTCAAAATTGCAGTATTAAACAAATGTTGCGAAGAACGGTCCTGGAACTTCCCACCAAGTATAGTTTGGCTGTGAGCTAAGATTTGAATCCAAGTTTTTTAATAATTAAAAAAAAAAGAAAAAAAAAAGATTTGAATCCAAGTTGATCACAGCCCTTTAGTCATATAGTCTCTTACTTGTAATGTATATTGTTTAGTGTGTGCAGTTGAACAGTATGCAGGTTATGTACAGAAGGGCTTCTGATTGCTGCCCTGCAGAATCTCCTGGAATCTGCCTGATAGCAACTTATTAAAGTGTAGAACAGTTTGAGTACAGTGGCACCTTTAAGACCAACAAAGTTTAATTCTGGGTATAAGCTTTCGTGTGCACGCACACTTCTTCAGATACAGGGTAGTCAGCATGGACTAATTGGTGCACAGAGATTACTTTATATATTAACCAGTACAATTCAACTCTCTGACTTCTTTGGTCACCTGTTGATGATAATTAATTTTCAGTGTTAGGTCCAATAAGTTGAGGATCACTGTCATTTAGTATAATACAAGAGGAGGTATAATTATCAATGGTTTACTAGTGATGTGGGATTTCATTTTCCAGGTTCCTAAAATGCTGCCTTTACTTTGTCCAGAAGAACATCTAGTTCACAGCACTGCACAAATAATGGACAAATACCTGGTAAGTATTAACTTCTGCACATACAGGGTGGCAAGACAAATTTGCACTGGGTGCCCTGCACTTTGTTTTTATTGCTACCCTCTCATTAAGAGTTTGCATAATAAAATGAAAGTTTGTTGTAGATTTTCCGGGCTGTATGGCCATAGTTTGGGCATTGTAGTACGCGACGTTTTGCCAGCAGCTGTGACTGGCATCCTCAGAGGTATAACACAGAAAGATGGAATACTCTCTGTGTCAAAGTGAGAAGAAAAATGGTAGGCACTAGGCAGGTACTTTATATCTACTCAGGAAGGTGGGGTAGGGCTGAGTCATTATCTTGTAGGAGTTTCCCAGGTTGTGACATGCTAATGGAGGAGCTTTCCTGAGGAGGTTCTTTTGCATATGGATTGGCTGTTGAAATGCTAATCTTATCTGTAGTACTGTTGTAAGATGTAGAACATTTTGTGTTTTTCAGGACAGGAAACCATGCCCTATTTATTTTTAAACTCTCTTCTTTTCTGTTGACATTGTGTTTATGTTTATGAATTTCAATGGCTTCCCTGTGTAAACTGACATGGTAATTGGATGTGTTGTCCAGCATTTCAGTATCTTGGAATAAGATACTGTGTCCTGTTTAGAACATTTTGGGGCAGTTCCCGAGGGCACTCAAGGAAGCAATGGTCCGCCGTCTTCTGAAAAAAACATCTCTGGATCCGGCCGAATTGGCTAACTATCGGCCTACTTGGGCAAATTAATCGAGAGGGCGGTGGCGATACAGTTACAGGGCTTTATGGATGACACTTCCATATTAGATCCCTTCCAGTCCGGCTTCCGCCCAGGACATGGGATGGAGACGGCGCTGGTTGCTTTGACGGATGACCTCCGGAGGCATCTGGATCGGGGCAGTGCGGCGGTATTGCTGTTGTTAGATCTGTCGGCCGTGTTTGACACGGTCGACCATCAGCTGCTGACCCACCGCCTCGCTGACATGAAAGCTGTTGGTTTATCTCTCGGACAAGACAGATTCTCTCCCAACATGTTTCTGATGCATTGGGCTGATGGGTTTGAAATGCATTTCCATTTTCGTAGATTATGAGATAAACATTTTCATCCAACTGCCATAGTCCAATGGAAGAGATTACCATTTACAGTAGGATCGACTGGAGTTACAGTAGGATGGAGTTCTCTCTCTCCTCCTGCTCTCTTTTATGGTTGTTGCCAAACATTTTGTCCATTTGAATAGCATGGCCTCTGTGTGGCAGCTGTAATCCAAAGACTCCCCAGCTCTCTTCATTGCCTCAGAACTTACTTTGCATCCTGCCTCAGAACTTTGGGACAAACAATCCTGAAAGGGAAGAAGCAGTCATTGCTTTTGATGCTTTATAGTTGTAATGGAAAACAAGCCAAATAGCACATCTGGCATTTTCCTAGAGGTCAAAGCTCTGTCTTTGTTCACACACCTAGTTCAGCTCTCAAAGGTCTCTCCTCAACTCTGCCCTTTCAATGTTCATCTGCATTTACCTGGATCAGACTCATCTGCTCTATACTCATTTGTCTGCTATACAAAAGTAAACAGGAAAAGGCAGCTGGGGAGAGAACCAGTTTGGTGTAGTGGTTAAGTGCGCGGACTCTAATCTGGGAGAACCAGGTTTGATTCCCCACTCCTCCACTTGCAGCTGCTGGATGACCTTGGGCAAGCCATAGTTCTGTCAGAGCTGTTCTTGAAAGAGCAGTTTCTGTCAGAGCTCTCTCAGCCCCACCTACCTCACAAGGTGTCTGTTGTGGGGAGGGGGAGGGAAAGGAGTTTGTAAGCGGCTCTGAGACTCTGAGTGAAGGGTGGGGTATAAATCCAATCTCCTCCTCCTCCTTCCTCTTCTGCCAATCTGACTATGTTTTTCTGTTCCACTCTAGGTTGGACCTGATAGCATCGTGGGTGCATCTACACAGTGCGGAGAAAAGACTGCAATTAAACATTCTGTCATTGGCTCTGGATGCATGATCAAAGACAAAGTTAAAATCACTAACTGCATCATCATGAACTCTGTCAGAATTGAGGAGGGGTAGGTCTTCTCTCAAAATCTATGTGGTTTTCATATATACATCTGAGGTTTCTTATATCACAGAATGCTGATGGAAGACTATGGCAGGCATACTTGACCTAGGGTGAAACCTATTTCTCCAGTGGTCTCAGGTGGGGCAGTTCCTACATCTGGGAATAAGCTCCTTACCCGCGGGGTCTATATCCTTTGGGCCAGGAGCTTCCCCAGTCACTCCTGCATTTGGTGGAGTGTCGGTGGCTGCAGCTACAAGAGCGCTACGGCCCTCCCCGCAGCCTCCAGAAGCCTGCCAGGTTGGCTGGGTCATTCAAGCTGCAGCCTTTGCTGTTTGCCCAGTCCTCCAGCCACTCTCCTGAATTCCGGTAAGGTGAAGAGGCCCTTGCTCTAAAAACCCCAGGGTGGGTTTTTTATTTGTTTAAAAAGGTGGGAAATGGCAGCACGGGGCAGGCCTTTTCAAGTCTGCACCTCAGGAAGGGTTGGCTTCTGACCTAGAGCTTCCCTCCTTGCCCTCCCATACTTTTGCTCAGGATTTCCAACATGGTTCAGACCTGACTGGAACCCCTAATCTGGACCTTTCAGGGGATAATGCCCAGGCCAACCTCCTAGCCTGGATTAAGGGGGAAATGCATAGGGAGATCAGAGAAGCCCTTCCCAAAGCTATTCCTGACTTGAGGAATTTCTCCAGGTCTTCGAGTAGATCTGGATGCCACTCTCCCTCTCTCTGAGTGTCTGGTAGCAGGGGGGTGGGTGGGTAGAATTTCTCCCTCGCCCCCTGACCTAAAAGAAGGAAAATAACCTACTCTGCCAGGCACCCCAATAGAGAATCAAGTCCTCAGCTAGGCCTTGACTCCGAAGAACTGGACTGATCTCATACCTCCTCCCTCAAAGAGGAGGGAGAGTTTTCGGAGGAGGAAGATCCTTTAATTACTACCTTACAGACCTGGGTTTTCTGACAGGAGGTATTCTTTAAGCTCCTTTCTAAGGTGCTGTGTATCCTGGAAATTGCTATTATCAACAAGGACATGGTAGCACCTGACCCAAACAGGCCAGCTGGTACAGCCAGAGCCTTCCCCCCCCCGGTGGGGTCTCTCTCCCTGGGGATTCCCTTTCCATCCATCTTCAATAAGGTAGTCAAAGCTGAGTGGGAGACACCCTCAGGACCTAAAACCAACTATAGTTGACAATCCAGTGGCCAGCCTGTGTTGAATTCAATTATTCCTTCAGAGGTTAACAGTCTTACAAGGGATCCTTGTGACAGAAGGATCAAACAGAACTTTAAAGCCTCCAAGTGCCCTGAGGGCGTCTACAGCAAGGGGCCCTGACCTGGATGTCTCAGACAGGCCCGATTTCATCGATCAGAAGTTAAGCAGGGTCAGTTCTGAAAGCTCACTGTTTTCAAGGGCAGTCTATTCCTGGGCCTCAGATCTCTCAGCAGCAGGTAGTGACACCTCAAAGGAACTTAAGGATGATCTAAAGAAGATTGCCCTTGCAGCAGGCTTCTCTGCAGACACGTCATTAGACACAATCCAGCTGTTGGCTAGAACTATAGCCTTGAGCATCATGGCTAGGCATTTCATCTGGCTCCGCAGCTGGGAAGTGAACCTGTCCACTCAGGCTCAAGTGGCTAGTGTCCCCTTCAAATGCATTCATCTCTTTGGGGAAGGAATGGATAGATACCTGGGTAGAGGATAAGGACAAGAAGTGGCCTTTGCCTTCATGCAAGAAAGATCATAAGCCCAAGAAATACTTCTCTTCCTTTCATGAACCCAAGCGCACCTCTGGATTCCAACCGTCAAGACCTGCAAAAGGGAGATGGCAGCCCAAACAACCAGGCAGCACTAGTTCCTCCTTTCACAGACTGACAGGCCGGAATACAGAGTCCCAAAAACATCTCTTCAGCATGACTACTACAGGGGCTTAGACCAACCAAAAATAGGAGGACATCTTCAGCTTTTCACAGCTTAATGGGAGTTAACAGTTGGCGGCAGGTGGTTCTGGATATAGTTTTAAATGGGAGTACCACACCTCCCAGCTGATTACTGAAAGTCCCAAGAAATTATTGTCCAAAGAAACATCTACTTCTCAAGGCCATTCAGCATCTCCTCAATATTGGTGCGATAGAACTGGTACCAGAGACCCAAAAGGCCATGAGGGTTTAATCAGTTTTTTCATAGTCCCAAAAAAGAACAGGGATGTGAGAGCCATTTTAATTCTGAAATGGCTAAACCAGAGAATCAGAAAGAAGTAGTTCCTGATGGAAGCCCTGAAATCCATAGTCTCATCTATTCAGAAGGGGAGCTTTCTGGCATTGATAGAGCTGTCAGAGGCCTACTTACACATCCCTATTTGGGAATCGCATCAGAGGTTCCTGCAATTATCCTACAACGGGCTTCATTTCCAGTACCAGGCACTTCCTTGGGGTCTCAAGAAAGCCCTAACGGTGTTCATGAAGGTCCTAGTCTCGCTGGTGGCATATCAGAGAACCCAGGGTGTCTCCATCTTCCTGTGTCTAGATGACATTCTAATCAGGTCTCCCTCTTATCAACAAAGGATGGTGGATATACAACAAACCATCTCTTGCTTTCAAGTCCATGGGTTCATCATTAACAGGGTCCTTCCCCTGGGAGTCACGATCAACATAGCACTAGACAATGTTTTCCTGTCCCAGGAAAGACAGGAGAAGTTTCTGGCTTTGATTCAGGAAATCACCCAGAGGCCCCAGGCGGAGGTAATGACCCTAGCAAGGCTCCAGGGCATGCTGGTGTCTTGTCAGGATGCTGTTCTGTGGATGAGGTTTCATGCACGCCTGCTCTAAAGGTTCCTCCTACCCTTCCAGGGTATAATAGCCAACAGATGTTTCCGGTTAGTCAGGCTCCCCGGATCTCTGATCCAGGAGCTTCAATAGTGGATAAAGACTCCCAGGCTTCTGGAAGGGACTCCACTCTGCAAACCAAAGAGACAAACAATGACCTCCAATGCCAGTTGGGGGGCCCACTCCCAAGGGAGGATGGCACAAGGAACCTGGTCTCAGGAAGAGTCTGCTTGCAGCATCATTTTTCTGGCTTACAGGGCAATAAGACTGGGCTTACTATTCTTCCAGGGTCTCCTAGTTGGGCAGGATGTCCTTTTCCACATGGACAATATGACTGCAGTCATACATCTATTTATTTATTTTTATTTATTTATTTCATTTTTACCCCGCCCTTCCCACCAGGCAGGCTCAGGGCGGCTTCCAAAAACTGACAAGCAGTATACATTCACAATAAAATATAAATACAAGGCATCAGTTAAAACACAACCAATCAGTATAAAACATTCGTTAGATGGCGATAAAACTAAAGTGCAGTTTAAGGACACATTCAGCGGTGCCCCCTCATTAGATCGTATTGGATCGGAGTTCACACAAGGCACTGCCGGTAAAGCATCTCTCCTATCAACCCTCATGAGGGCACCAAAACCTAACTGCTGTACGCGGAGGCAGAACTAAGTATGCAATGTCCAGAAATTCACCTGCGGTCTCTCAAGGCTATACATGTGGCAGGAAAGGACAATGCCCTAGCGGACTGTCTCAGTCGGCAATCTCTCTGCCAATCAGAATGAATGCTGATCAGGGAAACCTTCCAGTAGATCTGCCTCAAATTAGAAAAAGTGGAGGTGGACCTCTTCGCCACAGAACACAACCACCAGGTTCCTCACTTTGTCTCAAGGGCAAGGTGCCCCGAAGCCATTGGGGTAGACTCCCTAAGCTGCAACATAAGAACATAAGAACATAAGAGACGCCAATGTTGGATCAGGCCAAAGGCCCATCCAGTCCAACACTCTGTGTCACACAGTGGCCAGAAATACCAGTGCCATCAGGAGGTCCAGCAGTGGGGCCAGGACATTAGAAGCCCTCCCACTGTTGACCCCCCCCCAAGCACCAAGAAGACAGAGCATCACTTGCCCCAGAGCCCCTAGCTATACCTTGTGGATAATAGCCACTGATGGACCTCTGCTCCATATGCTTATCTAATTCCCTTTTGAAGCCGTCCATGCTTGTAGCACCCACCACTTCCTGTGGCAGTGAATTCCATGTGTTAATCACTCTTTGGGTGAAGAAGTACTTCCTTTTATCCGTTCTAACCCGTCCGCTCTGCAGTTTCATGGAGTGCCCACGAGTTCTTGTATTGTGAGAAAGGGAGAAAAGTACCTCTTTCTTTACGTGCTCTTTCCCATGCATAATCTTATAAACCTCGATCATGTCACCCCTCAGTCATCTTTTCTCCAAGCTAAAGAGCCCTAACAACTGGCCAGATCAACTGCTGTACGCCTTTCCTCCCATGCAATTGATCCAAAGAGTCATAGACCTTAAAGCAGAGGTGGTAATAATAGCTCCGTTCCAGGACCTGCAAAGGCTGTCTTCAGAGGAGCCTTGGTGCCTCCCAAGCAGGAAGGACCTTCTTCTCCAGGGGTCCCTCACTCATCCCCAGCCCGAGATGCTAAGCCTCAAACCTAAAGGTTGAGCGGTGACAATTTAAGGAAATAGGGTATCCCGATAAGTTCATTGATACTCTTATAACCTCTAGAAAAGATTCTACTGATAGAATATACAATAACACCTGGCAGGTTTTTCAAACATGGTACTCTAATCAAAGGTTAGAGCCCTTTTCTGCCAAGGTGGACAATCTCCTCCCTTTTTACAAGAAGGTTTAGATTAAGGTCTTAGCATTAGCACCCTGAAAACACAGGTGGCGGTCATTTCTGCAATCAGGGGAACTAAGAAGGGGCGGAGGTTTTCTTTCATTGCCCTCATGTTAGGAGGTTTCTCAGGGGTACATCTCCGATTAATCCCTCTCAGGCTCACTGCTTCCTTTTCTGGAGCCTGAATACAGTGCTCAGAGCCCTCTCCATCAACCCTCTCAGAGAGCTCACCTTTAAGACCATCTTGCTAGTGTGTATCACCTCAACTAGAAGGGTATCTGAACTCAGAGCTCTCTCAGTGGAAAAAAAGCTCTGTTATCTTT